GAAAGGAAAGAAAGGAAAGAAAGGAAAGAAAGGAAAGAAAGGAAAGAAAGGAAAGAAAGGAAAGAAAGGAAAGAAAGGAAAGAAAGGAAAGAAAGACCAGCAACAACATGATTTCCATGTGGTGAAGAACAATCTTCAGATTTAACACGGAGTAACTGTTAAGAACTACACTGAGTGGATTAAAATCCTCACCTATGAGCTTGTTTTCTTTGACAAAGCATCTGAATTCTGCACCAGGGATTAGCTCACACCATTTTCGAAGAACAAGCTACAGAGGAAAAAAACAAACAAACAAGTCACGGAGTATTGGTCACCAGTACCTTCGTGTCACCGGGCATATCTTCTTGTTACCCCAACAGTTTTATTATAATTACAACACAAACTCTGAAACATAGAAGACTCCTTCCTCCCCTACCAAAAAATATTAAGCCATATTTGTCCAGCTTGGCAAATACTTTAAAAGTAATATTACAACACTGATGTCCAGAGAGTAATTTGATAAATGTCACCTCTTTCCAGTTACATGTTTGGAGCTTGCTGTTATGTGGGTGTTTATGCCTGGAACTGCAGATAAGGTTCAAGAGCCTTGAATATTCCTAAGCCCTCTTCCACTAGGTCAGAAACAGCTCATTTTGACTGCATTGGAAAGTCACTATGATTGATCCAAAATTGGATTTTCATCATCTAATGGCTACACAAAAGCAGAGGGCAGACATTAGAAAACATATATATGTGTGTATATACATATATTTTTTCCTATTCGATTTTATCGAGTTCAAGATTTATGTTATGTGAATTACTAATAAATATGCTCCTTGATTTTTCACTGAATGTTAGCTTGGACAAAAGCAACTCTGTAGCAGCACCCACTGCAATACACACAGAGATGAAAAGCAACACTGTTAAGTCCTCCCTAGGGTGACAAGGGGTACTTGGTGCAAGTTGAAGCAATGAAGTTCACACTGAACATGAGAACTTCTTCATCATGAGGACAGGAGTGGCTACATTGTCTCCATCCATGGAGGTTTGCAAGATAAGTCTTGAAAAAACTAACCCCAAGCAATCTAGTTTCTTCTCACATTTGACCTGACTTTGAGCAGGAGGTTGGACTTGACACCACATGAGGTTTCTTCCCACCTTAACTATTCTATAGTCTTCCATGTTGTACAACAATTCTAACTAAGAAATTTCTCATGAAACAACTTGGAGAGTTACATTAGTGTTAAAGCATGGAAAATAAGTCTGTTGTACAGCAGATCTGTCTTGGTATTGGCAAGAAGTTGCTCTCTAGTCAAAAGAGTTGATGAGCAGAATTAAAATTAACCAAATGAACCTCTATTCTGGGATACACCCAAGCAGGGCTCTGTGACGCCTTTGAAGGCGCAAATCCGTTAAAATAAGGATACAGGACAGAAATAGTAACCCAGCTATTACAGTCAATAGGACAGAGGCCTGGTAATTAAAGCAGATCCCTGGCACTTGTTCCTGCTGTATTCCCTAAGCTGAAGCATTCGGATGGATCTGTTATTTTGAGGCCCTCAATTGCTATATGGACTGCAATAGAAAACTCAACATGAAACTTTAACTACAACATGAACCTGAACATCTTGATCCCAAGTTTCCCATATTTTTGTCCCAGAATTCCACATTTTGCAAGCATGTTAAGACAGTGCTTCAAAGCACAAAAGACTTTCCTAAAGCCTACATCTACATATA